AGTACTCTGAAAAATATGGAAGAGGAGCATGTACAGTTTGTGCACAGGAGGATCTGTTTCATTTCAACAGTATTTTTTTAATCAGAGTTGTATGCGGTCTGATTTGTATCAGCCATAGCATTGGAAATGCTTTCAATTTGCAAGAGTGCTGGAAGAGTTGGTAGACCTCAGGTTTAACACTTTCCCCATGCATACCATTTGCCCCTGTCAGCGAGTAACCACTGAAGAGCAGATAACATTTCCTAGCCTGCTTTCTGTTACGGACTAGACTATTTTCTTACAAATTCGTGGCAAGGGTTAGGCCAATTTCATCAGTGAGTTGTTAAAGTCAAGTTTTCTTGACTTTAAATGTTTTACTGAATGGACAAACTCTGTAGCATCACACCACTTCCAAGGAGAAAGGAATAACTTCTGTAGTCTGTTCTTTCTCCTCCACTTCTAGCTTTTACAGTAGATTACTTTGGAGAAGGGGAGGGATGTTCTTTTGGAGTGTAAAAGAATAAAGTTTGGGTAGAGGTGAAAGCATGAAAATGAGATGGTGAAGCTTTTCAGAACAAAGAACTGCATGTGCTTCTTCTTAACTCTCAGAAACCTGTGAGAGTTGTGAGACTAGCCGATTCCATACTGAGAAACAGAGCGCGCATGCGTGAAGCTTGGTGTGGGTAATGAGATGTTGCTACCTTAAAACATGATGAGTTGCAGGCAAGTTGGAATGAGGAAGATCCTGGACTACTTCAGACTGGAACATTTAAAGTATAAGAGCCTGTTGGATGGGAAGGCATTAAGTTGTGGTTTTTTTTTTTCTTCGTTTATGGCTTGTAGGTTTCCTTGCAGTTTCTCTTTCTTTCTGAAAATAACACATACCTTGGTTTTTTTGTTGTTTGGGGTTTTTTTTGGAGGGTGCAGGGTGGGGTTGGAAGGTTGTAGGGTGAGCCCAATTCACCTAGCCATACAATCCATCTCACAGTGACCTGCTAAAAACAATGGGGTTCTTGCTTTGTTTTTTTCCCAATTTTTATCTGGATTTTTGAGAAGCTTTCTGTGTTTCATCCACATTTACTCTGACTCATTTCTGCAGAGTCTACCAGTTTATGCAGGAAGGCTGGTTCAGAAGGCACATACACATGCAGACACATGCCGCTTTACAGTTTTAGCCTGCCTGCGGTAGCAGAATGTGATGAATGACAAATTGAAATGTAGGATGACTTCTCTGCAGAAGGGGTGTGGGGACCTGCCAGGGTTTTAAGTAGCAGTATTGATCAGGCATAAGGCATACTTAACCACAGGAGACAACACTGAAGCGATTGGTCCCTCTCTTTCTGTTGTTCCCATTCTTCTAGGGGCTATGACTGTCTTTAATACTGTCCTTTATCTCCTCTGTGTCCTCATCATCTGTGAGATGTGTTGGATATATATTCTTTTTTTTCCTCTCTCTTTGCCCTAAAAGCAATTCCACCAGATCTAAAGGTTGATTTCCTTTTGCGACCCACATGCGGTCCTTTTGCGATCACTTATGGTCTGTGTTCATACCATGGGTGCTCTGCTGACATCCTGTGTCTGTGTTCTTGGGGGACAGTGTCACACGTCAGTTCTTTCTACTGCCATCCTTCACGATATGCAGATATCCTCCAAAACTGATCCAAGCTGTGCCCCAGCATCATCAAAAACGAAGTCAGCCCTGCTCTGTATCCTGGCTGACCCCAAGTTCATTTAACATGTATCTAGAGGCAGACCATAGGGCAAGTTGGGCAGTAGGCTAAGACCAGATGTTATGCTTTACTGAGCTGTACTTCTTTTCTCTAGAAAAAGGATGCTGAGAATTCAGCTAGACTACAGTTAATGTGACTCCAGAATCAACGCTGGGGCTGGGAAGCAGTTGTCTGCAGAGAAACGTTTAACAAGTAGAAGCTCATGTGGTTAAGATGAGGATGAGCAGCTGGAGCACATGGGTTCTGTTCACAGCTCTGCCGCTGGCCGCTCTTGAGCGAACAGCTCGCGGAGTCAGCCGCAGGCCTGCCTCAGCTGCATCTGGCACTTGGCTTGCAAAGTTGTTAATCTTTTCCCTTCTAAAAGAACTTGCCTTGATCCATTTACAGAAGAGACTGTATGAAAAAATTCTGATTATTCATTTATTTATCAAATTACTTTTGTGAATTAAATCGACTTTACCAATGCACAGTCAGAGAGTCAGTGAACTTAACTCCACAGCTGCAAAACATATAATGCCTCTCATTGCTGAAAGTGATATTTCCTGTTAAGGCTGCTCATTTTGAAGGGAGCCAGTTTGGTGGGATGTTAGCACTTCCTATGCTATAAATAGGCCAGATGAGTATCACTTTCAATCTCAAAGGAATACATTTCTAATTTCTTGAGGGAAGTAACAGTATCTCTGGCAGGATTCTCAGGGAGTTTTATACTTGCTGATGATGTCTCCTCACACTCGAGATTCGACTTGCTTGTTAATGAATGAGGGTGCTTGTTGCAGCGCGTTGACATTTAGACAGTTATTAATAGCTTCAGAGGCACGATACTGTCACTAATGTCAGAGAAGTCCTTGCTGCGTTAGATTGCTAGGTGGGCAGAAAAGGAAAGCGAGAAACAATCTGGCATACTGTAGGTTGAATGTTAAATGGACAGCAAGGTTTGTGAGGAGGGGAACTACCAGTTTATTCATAGATTTCTTTTCATGTTGGAAGTGAGGATGACTCAGCAAACGGGGTTCCTTGGGGACAGAGGGCTGGAGGTAACCTCTCAAGAGTTGCCTGCCTCTCACTACAAGAAAGATGTTGAGGTGCTGGAGCGCGGCCAAAGGAGGGCAAGGAAGCCGGCGAAGGGTCTAGAGCACACGTCTGCTGAGGAGGCAGCTGAGGGAACAGCTGGGGTCGTTGCGTCTGGAGAAGAGGAGCCTGAGGGGAGACCTTATCGCTCTCTGCAACTCCCCGAGAGGAAACGGCCTCCAGTTGTGCCAGGGGAGCTTTAGATCGGCTCTCAGGGAAAATGTCTTCACCGACAGGGTTGCCAAGCGCTGGAACAGGCTGCCCGGGGAAGTGGTGGAGTCGCCACCCCTGGAGGTCTTTAAAAGACGTGTCGATGCGGCGCTTAGGGCCATGGTTTAATGGTGGACTTGGCAGAGCTAGGTTTACGGTTGGACTTGATGATCTTAAGGGTCTTTTCCCACCTAAAGGATTCTATGATTCTCCCTCATTGTGCAGCTTGCATATGCTACATCCTCAGTATTTCTGAGCCCTGCTGCTGCTGCTGTTGTAAGACAGAGGCTAGTACAGGAAGTCCAGGTAATTGAATATGCTGGCTCCGTTGCTCATTTTCACAAGCTTAAAAAAAAAAAAAAAGAAATAATCTTTTGTGTTCAGCATTTTGTTCATCTGATTATATGAGCTGAGAAGCTGCACATGTAAATGAAAATAACAGAGCTGGGAATTTGGTTGAATTGGGCTTGAACGAGAATGCTTCCTGTTGTTGCTTTTAAATACTGGGAAAATGAAATCCCAGCCCCTTAATCCCACTCAGGTTTAGAGATAAAACCATAAAGAAAGCAGACAGCTAATACATGTTTGTTGTTGTGCCTCTACCATGTGTGAGGGTTTGAGAACCTTGATAGGAACAGTAAAGAGAAGGTTTTGGGGAAAGACCATCCCACAGTTTGAAATGGCAGGTACTGTATACTAAAAGAAGTTTCTTCTCTATGGCCTGTGCTGTCAGGGTGCTGCAGAGTGTCTGATCATACAGCACCTGCTGAGCCATGCATTTGATTTTAAAATTAAATAATAGTTGGGACTGGAAAGAGGACAAATGAGTGGATGCCATGACAGAATTCAGATATTCTTGGAGCATCCAAAAGAAGCTGAACTTTTGGGGCTGATACTGTTAATTTTTGAGTATTAAGGAGAGTTAGAGACCATCTGAGAGGAGATGCATAACTATAGAACAAGAAGTAGGAAAAGGGAACTATACCAGTGTGACTCTAGAAGGTAGCGGAGCACTGGGCTTCAGGGACTCACTTGATTGATTATGCCTAGCATAACAGGCATATTGTTTTTTTCCAGTTATTAACTGCTCAGTTGGAGAAAATGCATCTGCTATGTTGGCCAGTGCAGATGCAAGTAGAAGGCATTGAAAAAATTCTTTGCGCTCTGATTTATTTGTTCCCAAACTTTGGTCCATAGATAAAACTACCTTGTAGACTATTATTTAAGTGATCTACAGCCAGTCTTCAGAGCAGTGCTGCGCAGTAAATCATGGAGTATTTTATTACAAAGGCTTAAAGGTTAAAGGCTTTTGAGGGCGAGAAGCAGTGTGTCAAGTACTGCTGCTCGAGTGGAACGAGAGGAAAGCTGAACTAGTTGGAGGAGACCAGGGAGGTCGAGCAGTCCCCTTTGATCCCCGAGAACAGGTTACAGTTCCTGTACCCTGAAGCAAATGAATTAATTTGCTAAATCACTTGGAGTTTCTGCTGCAATAGGAGTTCCTGGCCAAGTTACTTCTTTATAAAGCTCTGTCTTGTTCTGGTTTTTCACTGCTTGCTAAATGTACTTATCTGTACAGAGGCACATAGGCATGTAATTCATTCTCTTGGGAAGATCCATTTTCCCCTCACTGCCATCCATTTTGCTTTCTAAAAGGTACTCTTTTCTCTCTCCTTCATCAGTTACCTCACTAACATGGCTACCATTTCCTTTTTTCTTTTTTTTTTCCTTTCTTTTTTTTTTTTTTCACTAGGTGAGACAAGTGTTTGGGCAATGGGCTTTAATAGCATCATCCAGGCACGGGTGCAAAACACAGTGATGAGGGAGATAATTAATCACCACGCTAAAACGATTAATGTTTTGTTTTGATCATTTTGCATCCAAACTAACAAAAGGTTTCTGTCTTTGACCTACGTGATTCAACTGTTCATTAAGGTTTTGCCACACACTGTCATAATCACTAACAACTGCTTGGGTTTGAAGGTAATTGTGTTTATTTTCTGGTTCATGCTTTAGGAAAAATTAAAACTTGATGCTGAGAGGGAAAAACTAGAGAGGCTTCAGGAGCTTTACTCCGAGCAGAAGACGCAGCTTGATAATTGCCCTGAGTCCATGAGGGAACAATTACAGCAGCAGCTGAAGAGGGTCAGTAGCAAGTTTCAAGATTGCACTAACTTTTTTTTTTGTTGATTTTTTTTTTTTTTTTTAGAGTTAAGTGTAACATATTCTGTTTCAAGTATTCAACAAAGTGTCTGAACATATTTGCAACTTGTTAATAGTAACGAGGGTTATGTTTTTTTGTGGAATGCTTGTAATAGATAATGTGGACGGTGGCAAACAAGTAGAGTTGCAAGTGGGCAGGTTAGAAATCATTTTGTGTTGAATGTTTTTAAAGCCTTGGGCTGCTTGCCTGTCATTAGCACCTTAGGCCTGCTAGGCGGTGTGGAAGTTGTTGTGATGTT